TATCACCCCCCTAGTGATGACAACCAAAAAATGTCTGCAGACTTTGCCGCTTGTTCCGTGGGTTGGGGTGCAGGGCAAAATCGCCCGCAGTTGAGAACCCCTGTTTTATTAGATAAACCCAGTATCATTTTATCAGTGTTTCTACTCTCAAATTCCCACTGATATTTTAATTGTGATGAAAACGAATTCACAGAACAATTTAGACATCTTTGTTGTATACTGACTAAATTTAATCTTTTTTTTTTTTTTTTTTTTGGCTGTGTTGGGTCTTTGTTGCTGCCTGCGGGCTTTCTCTAGTTGCAGCGAGCTGGGGCTTCTCTTGTTGAGGAGCACGGGCTATACGCATGTGGGCTTCAGTAGTTGCGGCTTGTAGGCTCTAGAGCGCAGGCTCGGTAGTTGTGGCGCACGGGCTTAGTTGCTCCACAGCATGTGGGATCTTCCCGGACCAGGGCTCGAACCCATGTCCCCTGCATTGGCAGACAGATTCTTAACCACTGCACCACCAGGGAAGTCCCTAAATTTAACCTATATTATATTTAGTCTTATTATCCAAGAATCATGTGTATTTATATCTTCTTTTATGTCCTTTAAAAGGGTTTTAAGAGTTTTTAAAATAGAGGCTCTGGTAATATTAAGTTTATTACTAGGTATTTTACCTCTTTTGTTCCTTCATAAATGGGATTATTTCTTATTATCTTTTCTAACTAGTCACTGATAAGAAAACTATTGATATTTTATATTCTATAATGAGCCACACACTGAACTCTTATATCTAATAGATTTTTAGCACATGCTAAGTTTTTTCTCAGGATACAACTTTCAGGAAATTCTAAGCATTTTTCTAAACATACAGTGGTATTATCTGCATAAAATCATCATCTTGTATCCTCATTTCCAACATGAATACACTCCTATAGCTCTCCTGTCTCACTGCCTAGGTTAATACTTGCAGAAAAATTTGGTGGTGGGCAACCTTGAATCATTCTTGATTTTAATGGAAAGACTTCTAGGATTTCACCATTGGGCATAGTGCTGGCTTTGGCTTGAGATACATATATATTTCTTTTTTTTAATATAAATTTATTTATTGATTCTTTTGGCTGCGTTGGGTCTTCGTTGCCATGCACGGGCTTTCTCTAGTTGCAGTGAATGACGGCTACTCTTCGTTGCAGTGCACATGCTTCTCATTGCGGTGGCTTCTCTCGTTGAAGAGCACGGGCTCTAGGCACACGGGCTTCAGTAGTTGTGGCACATGGACTCAGGAGTTGTGGCTCACGGGCTCTAGAGCTCAGGCTCAGTAGTTGTGGTGCACGGGCTTAGTTGCTCCACGGCACGTGGGATCTTCCTGGACCAGGGCTCGAACCCATGTCCCCTGCATTGGCAGGCGGATTCTTAACCACTGCGCCACCAGGGAAGTCCCAAGATACATATATTTCATATCACTAAAGAAGTACCCATACACTTGTAGTCTACCAAGAGCTTGTTTTTAAATCAGAAAGAGTGTTAATTTTGTCAAAGACATTTTCCATCTCTATGGGGATGACCATATGGTTTTTCTTTTTTAGTCTATTAATATTGTATGATGGATTATATTCCCCAATCTCCTATTAAGCCATTCCTGGATGGCGTAAACCCACTTGGTTGTGATGTGCACTACTGTTCTTTTAATTTCTTGTTGAATCACACTTGCTAATATTTTCATCTCCCATTTTTGCATCAATATTTGAGAGTGAGGTCAGTCTGTTAGTTTTTAGTGGTGCTTTGTTAACCCTTATTTATTTTTTTGTTTGTTTATTTATTTTTGGCTGTGTGGGGTCTTCGTTGCTATGCGGGCTTTCGCTAGTTGCATCGAGCGGGGGCTACTCTTGGTTGCGGTGCACGGGCCTCCCATTGTGGTGGCTTCTCTTGTTGCAGAACACAGGCTCTAGGTGTGCAGGCTTCAGTAGTTGTGGCATGCGGGCTCAGTAGTTGTGTCACGCAGCCTCTAGAACACAGGCTCAGTAGTTGTGGCGCACGGGTTTAGTTGCTCCGCGGCATGTGGGATCTTCCCGGACCAGGGCTGAAACCCATGTCCCCTGCATTGGCAGGTGGATTCTTAACCACTGTGCTACCAGGGAAGTCCCTTTGTTAACTTTTAGAATCAGTTTTAGGCTGCCTTGATAAAAATAAGTTGTACTTTCATATGTTGTACTTTACAAACCAAATGTGGGGACTTCCCTGGTGGTCCAGTGGTTAAGAATCCTCCTTCCAATGCAGGGGACACAGGTTCATTCCCTGGTAGTGGAACTAACACCCACATGCTGTGGGGCAACTAAGCCCATGTGCCACAACTAGAGAGCCCAAGTGTCGCAAACTACAGAGCTCACGCGCCACAGCTAGAGAGCCCAAGTGCCGCAAATTGCAGAGCCCATGCACCACAACCAGAGAGAGAAAAACCTGCACGCCACAACTAGAGAGAAGCTCACGCGCCACAATAAAGAGCTCGCACACTGCAACGAAAGATCCCGCATGCCTCAGGGAAGATCCCACGTGCTGCAATTGAGACCCAATGCAGACAAAAAAATAATAAAAGAAAATAAATAAATAAAAATTAAAAAAAATAATGAAGTGTAAAGTAAAAAAAAAAAAAGTAAAACCATTATGTAGAAACACAAGGCCGTTCCCCTGCATCCTAGGAAAAAAAAGCCACATATATTCTTCACAGATTCAACTTTTTGAAAACTAAATAAATTAAAATACACCTTTGGAAAGCTAATCTGGATTGTGATATTTTATGTAACAGTGCAAAAATCACAAGTAGTCTACCATTCACCTCCTATTATAAATGAGTAATGTCATATTTCAGCTGTGTTCCCACCTTAGACAATTGAGCAGTACATTACTATTATTAATTGAGCTGCACTGTGAGTTAGACCGCGGAAAGCTTAGCTTTCTTATCTATGTGCTGCAAAAGAAAATGAAATACATTCTCTGACGTTTTAAGTTTCCTATGCTCTGGACTCAAATATAATGGTTTAAAAAAAACCTTTTCGAAAGAATGAAATTAGAACACTCCCTCACACCATACACAAAAATAAACTCAAAATGGATTAGAGACCTAAATGTAAGACCAGACACTATAAAACTCTTAGAGGAAAAACATAAGAAGAACACTCTTTGACATAAATCACAGCAAGATCTTTTTTGATCCACCTCCTAGAGTAATGGAAATAAAAACAAAAATAAACAAATGGGACGTAATGACACTTAAAAGCTTTTGCAAAGCAAAGGAAACTACAAACAAGACAAAAAGACAACCCTCAGAATGGGAGAAAATATTTGCCAACGAATCAACGGACAAAGGATTACTCTCCAAAATATATAAACAGCTCATGCAGCTCAATATTATCCAAAAATGGGCAGAAGACCTAAATAGACATTTCTCCAAAGAAGACATACAGATGGCCAAGAGGCACATGAAAAGCAGCTCAACAACCGCTAATTATTAGAGAAATGCAAATCAAAACTACAACGAGGTATCACCTCACACCGGTCAGAATGGGCATCATCGGAAAATTTACAAACAACAAATGCTGGAGAGGGTGTGGAGAAAAGGGAACCCTCTTGCACTGTTGGTGGGAATGTAAATTGATACAGCCACTATGCAGAACAGTATGGAGGTTCCTTAAAACACTAAAAATAGAATTACCATATGACCCAGCAATCCCACTACTGGGCATATACCCAGAGAAAACCATAATTCAAAAAGACACATGCACCCCAATGTTCATTGCAGCACTATTTACAATAGCCAGGTCATTCATTGACAGATGAATGGATAAAGAAGATGTGGTACATATATACAATGGAATATTACTCAGCCATAAAAAGGAACAAAATTGGGTCATTTGTTGAGACATGGATGGATCTAGAGACTGTCATACAGAGTGAAGTAAGTCAGAAAGAGAAAAACAAATATCGTATATTAACACACATATGTGGTACCTAGAAAAATGGTACAGATGAACCGGTTTGCAAGGCAGAAATAGAGACACAGATGTAGAGAACGAATGTATGGACAGCAAGGGGGGAAAGTGAAGGGGGGATGGTGGTGGTGGGATGAATTGGGAGATTGGGATTGACATATATACACTAATATGTATAAAATAGATAACTAATAAGAACCTGCTGTATAAAATAATAAAATTCTAAAAAATAAAGATATGCAAAGATATAAAATGCCATTTTTCTCAATATTATTTTTTGTTTTTGAAATTTTTTCATAAAGATATGGTAATTATGTTAACATGTAATGGGTTTAATTTTATTTCTGTTATTTTAAAATGAATTAATAAATCAATATTTTTAAAACTTAGAAGAAAAAAAAAAAAAAACCCTTTTTGGTTTCTCAAAAAGAGCTAGTAACACTGAGAAAGCCCAGGGGTTCCCGAGGCCACTGGCATCTAAACGAGTCTGAACAGCCTTCCGAGAGGACCTTCCCGGCTTCCGTAGGACCCAGGACGGATGCTGTGCCCCTGCCTCTGCCAAGGACTTACGCACTGACTTGCTTATCTGACACGCGGAGCATCACGAAGACACCAAGACGGCCCCAGAGCCTGCACCACCCTGCCCGGATCTCCAGGGACGCAACACATGCTAGATGATGGGCAACCAGAGGGACCGGGGGAAGCACAGGGCTCCCCACTGCCTCTTTGCTTCCTTTTGTGGATCATCCCATCTCCTGTTGTGGGATGTCGCCTGAACCAGTTCCTCACTCAGAGTAAGTGCTCCGTACGTATCTGATGGGGAAGGAGGCGTGAATGCCCGAGGTGCTTTCAAATGGACAAGAAAAGGCCCGCCTGGGTCCCTCTGACCTGGCTCCCTTCCTGCCTGGGTCCCTTCGACCTGGGTCCCTCTCACCTGCGCCCCCCACCTGGGTCCCTCCCACCTGTCCCCCCCCAACCTGCCTGAGTCCTTCCACTCTGAGTCCCTCCCACCTCCCCCCCCTCAGGCCCTCCTACCTGGGGGGCCCCTCAGGCGGCTCTCCGCGAGTTCGGAGACGGCCCCGGACGTGGACGTCTTTTTCAGTCGAGCTGCCCCAGAAGCGGCGGCACCGCCTGGCTTGTTGAGCGTGTCCTCACTGCTGGCCCGCTTGAGCTGAGAGAGAGGTGGACGGAGAGAGAGAAGGTGAAGAGACGCATTTTCGGGCTGGAGCACTATAAACCAGTAAAGCACCAAGCAGGCCCACCTGCCCAGCAGCTGAGGGGCAGCGAGGGCACCTCGAGTAGCAGGAAGGCGCGGGGGGAAAAGCGCAGACAAACCTGTGATCCTCCATCACTGTTTCAGAGACCGGTATAAGGTTGCGGGTGGTTACTACCCATCATTCACACGTCAAATAATGAGGTCTTTTTTCAAAAAAGTTAAAAGGCTGGGAACTGATGAAGAAAGAACTGTATGGTACACAGAAGTCAGGATAGGGCAACGCACAAGAAATTCAAAGACAATAAAATGTAGCACAAAAACATACGTCTGTTGGAAGCAGGGGGAAGAGATACAAAGATCTGACTGAACAGCTACGTGTGCTCACCCCAAGCACTCCCATGCCCCCAAACACACACCGCCTCCTAAGGGAGCAGAGGGACTTTTTTGGAGGCCAGAAGAAGGCTGTTAGGGACCCTCGGCTCCTTTTCTGCTTTCTTCCCTGGCATGGGAGGTGCAGAACAAATATTTGTTGAAAGGTATTGAAGTGTCCCGAAATGAGCTCACACTCTGGCCCAGGTAAATTACTCTCAAGGTGGAAGAGAAAACCCACAAATAAGTTCTCTCAACCAGTGTGAGTCTCTGCTAAAGAACACTAATCGTTCCAGAAGATGGAGGCAGGCAGATGCCACCACAAACGCACCTGACATCCTGGGAACCAGCGTGAAAACGCCCTCAAATCAACCGGGACGTGGAAGCAGCAGCCTGGCCCACCACACCGGCCAAGGGCCCTGCTCCAGCCCGCTTTGCTGGCTCTGGGGTCACATACTGAAGGTTAGGAGTCTAGATATTTGCACAATGCAAAAAAAGCATGTCCACCTTTGCATTTAGATTTCAGGGTGTTGCGACATATCCCTCAGAATGGCTTGAAAGAGAAGAGAAATACCAAGTGCTGGTGAGGTTGGGGAGCAACTGGAACACTCCCCGTCTGCTGGTGGGAGTGTAAACTGGTCGCCGCTTTGGAAAACAGGGAGGATTCACTAAAGGTAAATATTTGCACCCTGTGATTCAGCAAACACCCTCAAGCTCTACACAGGCTCCTCCAAAGAATGTTCATAGCAGCTTCATTTATTACAGCCAAACCTAGAACAACCCGAATGTTCTTCAACAGATGGGGTAAATTAAATAGTGGTACAGTATACAATGGAAACCACGCAGCAATTTAAATAGTTACCGATACAGTAATGAATGGGTGGGTCTCACATTCATTATGCTAAGTGAAAGAGACCAGACACAAAAGAGTATATTATGCCTGGTTCCATGCAAGTGAAGCTCAAGAATGGACAAAACTGGGCTTCCCTGGTGGAGCAGTGGTTGGGAGTCCGCCTGCCGATGCAGGGGACACGGGTTCGTGCCCCGGTCCGGGAAGATCCCACATACCGCGGAGCGGCTGGGCCCGTGAGCCATGGCCGCTGAGCCTGCGCGTCTGGAGCCTGTGCTCCGCAACGGGAGAGGCCACAGCGGTGAGAGGCCCGCGTACCACACACACAAAAAAGAATGGACAAAAGCAAATGATGGTGACAGAAGTCAAAACAGTGGTTCCCTCCGGGGGAGGTACGGGCTGGGAAGGAAACTTCTTGGGCGCTGGCATGTTCTACATCTTGCCTGGGTGCTGACGGTGACACAGATCTAAGCACACGTAAAAATTCAATGGGCCGCACAGCTAAGACTGACATTAATGCACTTTATATGCTGATTTGTAAGTATGTTGTGCCTCACTAAAAAAAGAAAGAAAACTGGAGGATGGGTTAAACCAGGGGCAAAGCCCTGGTGCCACCCTGCCAACTGCTCATCTGGGGTTTTCCCTCGTTATTTTTGATCATGGTAAAATATACATAACGTAAAATTTATCATTTTAACCATTTCAAGTGTACAGTTCAGTGGCCTTAAGTACATTACGTGGTTGTACAACCATCACCACCATCTAGAACTTTTCCGTCTTCCGAAACTGAAACTCTACTCCTTAAACACTAACTCCCCACAGCCTACATTTTAAAAAAGGTGGTAAAAGTCTAAATATTAGCCAAGCAATCCTAGTCGAGATCTTTAACAAATGATTAATGTTTAGAACAACCAGTTAATATTGACAGGATAATCTGCGTGCGCACGCTTGCAGTTTACTGGATGTAAATGTAACCACACTGCCCAGCCAACAAGCATAGGCCACCACAGCTTAACAAAAGGGATGAAATACGACAAGGGTTGACTCAGAAATACCTCAACTGCCTTCTTACACGGACCCCATGATCGCTTTCCTACCTCCCATTTCAGAGTAATAAGGGTCCCTGCACCCAAGCTCTCCAGCCTCTCAAATTATCCGCCAGGTCATCAGTGTAACATGTATTTAGTACTAAACGACAATAGCTCAGGATGTCAGCACCATTTCCTCAACAGAAAAGAACTATTGTTCACTCGGCCTAGAAGCGTGCCAGGGGCTTCCTGGGTCCCCACAGGGAAATCAATTCTGATCTTAGACTTTGAAAACACCTCAAAGGAAACACGGAAGGGAATTCTTAACGGAATTTTGCAAATGATACGCTCTTGGTTCTGCCTTCCTCTGTCTGGTTCTCCGACATTCCTAAAATCAGTAAGTCTGACACAAAGAAGTGCGGAATTACCAAACTCTGCAGCAAAGGCCCAGAGAGCCAAGGCTGGGTCTGCGAACCAGGACGGGGCACCCACTGAGTGAGAGGGCCCCACCGGCCTCCAGCCATCCCACCCCGGCCCCCATCCCCGCCCACCCCGGGGCATGGGCTCAGGGGTATAGCTTGCCCCCGGCCCCTTCCCACAGAGCTTGGTTCTTGGTGAGATGGCGGGTGAGGCAACAGAAGGCAGGGGTGGCAGGTGGGAGGTCACCCCCCAGGCTCAGGGCTGGAGGGTCTCCAGTGGGGATTTAGCAGTGCACAGATGCTGTAGCTCAGGGTCTGCTTTTGTTCACAAGGGCGGCAATGCAAAAGAGGACTCGGGATGTGGGAATTCAACATATGAGGTGCCCAGCAATCCCATGGGAAGCAGCCCACATCGTGGTTAAGGTGTGTGCCTGTGGCTCCAAGAGAGGCTGCTGGTGACGGACCCTGCCTCCGCCTCTCCCTACCTGTGTGATGGGGGAAGGTGCTGAGGGCTCCTCGATTCTAAAAGGGAGAAAATAACACACACATCTCCAGGCTTCTGACCCTAATTAAGAACACAATAAATAGTGGCCATCATCACCACCACCACCATCATGATCATTAGCAACACCACCATCACCACCACCATCACCACCATCACCACCATCATCACCACCACCACCACCATCACCACCATCACCATCACCACCACCACCAC